ATAAAATTTAAAATGATATTTGGTCTATATGTAGAGCTGATTTCGCTCTATAAAGTTACTGGTCAGATTTTTTTACAACCTATTAGATAAAAAGTTATAACAATTTAATTGAAACACCTCATGTAGCTGTTGAGTATAGACTTCTAGCACCATAGTTTTTTTTTAAACTATTTAAAAGCTTATAAGTTTATTTTAATAGTTTGTCATTAACTGGACTTAACTAATTAAAAGACTGAAAACCGAAGACCGTGTAACCGGTCTTCTCAGGACCGATCCAACCCCACTTAAATTATCCGAGTTAAATAAAATCCTTAATTTGACTACATAATAGTAACTAAAACTAAAGCTCAGATAATTTAAGGCGAGACAAATACTTTTTGGATGTATTATACATATTATACGTATTCATAACAGTGATATCAGAGTTAGACTCTGTAGCAATACCGGAAAATAAATTTTTTAGTAAATTATTACGTGGCTATGTGCATTTTATAATTAGTTGCCATTCTAGTATCGGGTATATAATGATAAATAGCAAAAAAGATGTTTTACATTTGTCGTTTATCATCGTTACTACGAATTGAATTCTAAAAAAATGAGCCAACCACCAGCTTTAGGAACTATTCACCATTTTGGTCTTTTGGTTTCCGATTACAAAAAGAGTATCGAGTTTTATGATTCTTTTCTTCCTAGACTCGGTATGTGGAAGATCTTAAATTTTATGAAATTTGTTTTCTCACAAGATGTCATTAAACCATTGTTACGCAGGCTACAAGATGATAAGAAACAACGAAATTTACACTTCTTGGGTGAACCAATCCTTAGGTCAATTTTTTATTGGTCCAGCAAAGGAAGAACACAGAGATATTAAGCATACCAGATATGCAGTTGGATATCATCATTTGGCTTGGAATGCTACCTCTAAAGAAGAAGTTGATAAGTTTTATGATTTCTTGGTTGAAAAAAATTACAAAATTTTGGACGCCCCAAAGGACTACAAATATGCACCTGTCTATTACGCTGGTATGTCTACATTATTTTTATGATTTAATACATGTACATTTTATTGATCATTAATGTCGACTTCAAAGTCTTTTGGGAAGATCCTGATGGTTTTAAGCTTGAGCTCTGTTATGTTCCATTTCCTTATGAAAATGAAATAAACAAAAATGAAGACGGTAAATTCTAAAGATGTGTAGAGATTTCTTTGCAATGTAGTTTTAAGTTACATACTGCTTTAACCATTTTATACATATTCGTGATCAACTGTCCTAGCGTTATCAACCTAAGAAATTTTGCCAAAAAAATTTTGCTTCTATATTAGGGTTAGATTAAAGTCTTCAATATCAAACTTTCGTAAGGAGAACTTTTTGTTAATGCGTGGAAGGTGGTTGTATAGGTAAAATGTTGATTTTTTACGTAGTACATGATTTTGAAATCTGATTGTGCAGCGAAATTTTTTAGGTTGGTAACGCTAGGACAGTTTTCATAATCATCAATCAGCTAAGAGCTAATAAAAATCTGATTTATTCGTCGAATTATTATTGTCTTAATCTCCCTAAGTAGAACAGTGTGTGGACAAAATATTGATTTTATTACACAAAATTAACTTTGATTTAATGTATGAAATAAAAGCTTAATTTTACATATATTCTTGAAAATTTTTTAAATTATATTTAATTACAACCTTGAATCAGATGTTCATTCGTTGGCATGAAATGGACAAGTGAAGAGGCGAAAATACACAATATTGAATGAATATATCAAAACTTTGATACTAAACGTGGGAAAAGCGAAACTCTTTCAATGGTTCATTGAATTTTACCGTGTATAAAGCTAACGAGTCTTGTCTCAGACATAGTTGGTGGTAGAATTAATTTGGCGAATCAATACTGAATCAGGCGTAACATAATCAAACGTTCGTTTTGTCAAAAATTGCATATTTCTCAAAAAAACACATACAAAACCACTTCTAGTACTCTAACAAAAAGGTTTTCTTGAGCCATTTTACTAGATAATCATTCAGTCTTTAAGTTTATTCTAAACACTAACCCTACTGTTAATGAACTTGTTACTAGCACAACAAAATTGTCACGGCAGATTCTCGGTTTGATTGGCTAAGAGCGACGGTCAAAAAATTTGGCCGGAATTGCTCAAAATTTTACTAATGAAATCACAGCCGCCCATTAAGTGAAAGTTGTTCATGGGCTAATTTTATTGTGTGGGTCTATTTCTATGGAACTAGCGATCCCATTAAAAAAATTTCAAACCATTTCGCAAGTATTTTAGGGTTAGGGCCCACCAATAAGTTAGTATTTGGTTTAAAGGGCTATAGGCATAGTAAAATTTCCCAAGGAAAATTTTTTGTTAGTCTGCAGAAGGCATTTTCATAGGCTAAGTTTTAAGTTATAAGCATTTTTTGTTGTTTTGATTTTTTTGCACTTCTTTTATATTACACCTGATCTTGAAATATGATTTGCTAGCGAAATTTTTTAGATTGGTATTTTAAGGGTAGAGTACAACGTTGACCATTTCTATATATAATTAGTTGTAAATTTTTATCTTTTTTTTATATATAATTTTTTTTTGAAAAAATATATTAAGTAAATAAATTTTAATCCTTATATAAAAGTTGTAGAATAAGTCTTTCTGATTCTAATGATAGTAAAATTATTAAAATTGGGTAAAAACTCATCAAGATATGAGTTTTTAAATATTAGGTTATAAAACTATATAATAAAATTAACTTATAGATTTATGTAAATTAACTAATCAAATTATTCAATTTTGTATTACATAGGCAAATTTTAATTGACCTAGGTAAACTTTATCATATATACAAGTATATTTTTTTAAAATAATATAATAGTTCAAAATTTTACTATAATAGATA